TTCTAGTGGAACTAGCATGTGTTCTCAAAAAATAAAGATATTTGAGAAAGAAGGAGATAAACCTACAGATGTTCAAATCAGATGAGTGCTCTGAAACAAGCAACTCAAAGATGCTTAGCTAATCTTCACATTTTGCAGAAATTCTCAGCCATCTCTGCTGTCACCACAGAAATAGAATTTTGCATAGTATATTTATCATTCAGTAGTAACTCATATGGAGAAAAGAATCTGGCTTTATAGTGTATGCTGGTTATAACCTTAATTAAGGAAAAAACACAGCAGTAACCTACCAACTAAAGAAAATAATCACCCAACGACCAAACTAAAACAAAACACCAAAACTGGTTGTTCTATTGTTTTGAAAATAGCATGTGGTTCAGCACTGGAGCCAAATTAATTCTCCATTAAAACCTAAACAACCATTTTAAACCTGCTTTTAAAATTATTAAAATGTAGCTAACATCTGTTTGTTGTGAAACGACAAATGAGTCGCAACCCTTTTTTAATTAATCTGTATCTCTAACAAACACATAGACTCTATCTGCCATCAAACTATAATTGATGCACAGGAAACTTTATTAAGTGCACTAATATTTAATTATCTTTGGCTCTGAGTTTGAACTCCAAAGTCAATCTGGAACATCTGAGACACCATCGTGGGCCACATCTGTTAGTGAATCCAAGGGCTCACAAAATTCTCCCTTCATAAAAGGATGCAAGTTTCCTGCTTAAGTTACAATATGGGAAACAGCTGACTCCAAAATAATATAAATTATAGACGGATTAAAAGCCCTCATAACTTTTAATTAAGCAATAAATCACAACAGACTGCACAGCGCTGCTGATTTATGCACTCCTCAAGTGAGAAGCAGTAAATAAAATTAGACAGGACAGAATATACATCTTATTGGAGAAGAAGAAGAATCTATCCTTTGGTGTTTCATTCATACATAAAAATCTGCTCACCTTTAGTTTTTCTACTGGTGGCTCTAGCCTGCAGCACACTTATTTATAACTCAAAGGCGTGTCATGATCTATAGGTAATGAGGAAGGATTAGCTGAATTTGTGCAAACTCGTATTTGCAACTCTTTTTTTGGTGTACCTGCTAAACCAGGGACTTCAGGAGGCAGGGAAAGACCTAAACAGCTGTACAGAGGCGACATCTTTAATTCCTCCTTTTTCTCCCCAAACCCACCTGCTTGTGACTAGAATTAATCCAATTTTGGGAAAACAGACCTTGCATACAACAGTCCTCCCTGACACAGGGGTTGTATTTGACAACCACTCAGAAAGCTGTAATTGGGCCTTGAAATCTGAAATCTCTTAAGTGTTTTTATTCCAGCCAGCAAGCTGCTAGTGCCAATGATCCTGATGCTGTCACCTAAAAAAAGATGCAAAATTCATGTATTCAACTTGCAGTTCAAATGCACACATTTAGCTGACGGCAAGCCCCGCGCAATCCTTCCAGTCCTGTGAGGGGAGATCAAGAGGAATACAGAAGGTCATTTGCACTTTTATTCTGCTGTCTTGGAGAAAGAAACCAATTAACAACATAAAAAGAAAATAAAGTCCATTCCTGAATCTATCAATCAGCTACAGATCATAAAACAAAGCAAACCCAACACATGATACGGTTATAATTTCTGAGAAATGGCCACAAGAAACGTCTGCACCAGAAAAAATATTAACACTTGTTAAGTATTAATCAATGAGAACTGCTGTAGACAGAACAACACAGCAATATTAAATACTTTAAAAGAGGCAAGACCAGGGTTATTTTAATCACCATCAGGCAAGAGGTGCCTGAGAGTTCCTGGGCAGCTCAGGAGCTCTGACAGATGAATTCACACAGCATACAGCTCCATGTCTGTTCCCCTCTTTGAGCAGCAACTTCATTTCCAATTATTCTCTCTTATTCATAAAGGAGAGTCAGAAAAGTAGAAATTTTCTGCTCTGAATGTTCAGGGTATGTTCACAGCATGCAGGTGAGTCAGACCATGTTTAACAAACTCCTATTCCTCTTAGGAACAAAGTCATCCACTGGAATGTGGTCAACATTAACCTGGGGACACACAGAACCTGCTATATATTTATGAGAAAATTCTGTCCTTCTAAAGACACTGCTGTCAACTGGGAAAATGAAAAAAATGTCCAAAAACTTAATTAGTAGCCAAGAGCTGCGTATGTAGCGGAGCAAACACAGAAAACCTCCATATAGGGGCCTATATGAGATACACTCAGACTTTGCTACTTGGCTGGTCAAAATGTTTATGACATATTCTGCCCTGAGGAGAGGAAACTCATGTCTTTACTGCAGTCTTCCCAACATCAGAGCTGGGAGCAGACTGTGATCACATCCTTTCTTTAAGATTCTTTCTAGAACAGCCTCACACTGGCTTCTGATGGTAGTAGATGCCAAATCAGACCAATGCCAGCACCTAATTAACCAACTCCACCTTTGTTCAGGTTGGATGCTCTCTCACCATGATTCAGATTTACACACCAGCTCCCTAGATTCAACAGATCTGGGCTGCCTTCTGTTTAACGCGCTCCCGTTCAACATCTTGCCAATCTCTTGTTGCATTCACACTTCAAAAAGTTTTGAAGTCGTTATGTGGCAGGTTCTTAGAACTCTAAATTACTGTCATGAATTTCATTACTTGACTTAGTATTTCAAAAGAAATTTCCACATTTGTGTCTTGAATGTTTTGTAATCAACAAGATCATATTTTGGAAATTAATTTCGTACAGAAAGGAGTTAGAAAAGGAGCAAAGAAAAGGAAAACGTGTCAAAATCTTCGCTTAACTTGCCAAAAGCAAGAGAAGGGATACTTCTGTGTAATTCACTCTTTCTAAAGACTAAGTCACATGTGATGAAATGCATGCCAAAGAACTGTTTTTCACATCTTCTACCATATGAAAAGGTGAAGACGTACCAACATTTTTAATTCTGAATATTCTTGGGGTTGTTCCAATTAGAACAGAAGCTAGGTCCTTATTTTAACTGTTATACACCATCTCCCCTCCCTTAACGACTGTGAACCTAA